TAAAGCAGTTAGTTTGAATCTATATTTTATTGCTAATAGCTCCAGTTAGTGGAACTGCACCGAAAGTATCATCATCCTTCAAATACAATGTACTAGAAGTGCGGGTAGAAAATTCTGTGGCACTATTTTGCCAAGCCCAAGCTCATCCTTTGCCCAGTTTTAGGTAATGTTCAAAATATTCAGTTCCATTATATACACATTATTTCAAACATTGCTTTGGAACCTATTTGGGTCTAAGTTTTTGCATTTTATTCGGACTTTTAAAACTTTACAACCAAACGCTGAGTCTATCAAAGTTTTGGCATACTATGCCAATTTTATTAAATTCTAGTTATTTTATGAATTTTTCTGATTCGACATATTATATCCACGTACATAAGGGCAGTGGCTTTAACTAGCATTTATAAGCTGTATTTATAAAGGCTATATATATTCTTAGAACCCACAAATAATATCGGTCCGAGAATAGTTGGCGAAAGATCTTTGGGAAAACTTATATTGGGTCGTGTTGAACAACCCGTCTATCTAATGTGCCAAGTCGTTGGTTATCCAGTACCATTCTTCAAGTAAGATTTAATTTATTACTATATAAAGGGTTTGTTATACAGGATTCTGAGTATTACGGATATAAATTATAGGATATAATTTTTTTCACAAACAATAAAGTAGATAAATAATGTGGCCTTGTAGTATGACCTGAGCTCGACTGCCAACTTGCAACATCATATGCAACAAGTATTATTCAAAAGCTTCATGATGGGTTTGGTCGTGTTTCCATGCAGAATTGGCCCCACCCTGGAATTTAAATGATTTTCAAAAAAATCCCCATTTTTCAACTCCCCAGCACATTATTTGACCCAGATATAATTGAAAATATGCGAAAGTCACTTTTTTCTGAGTCACTTTTTATCACAACTATAAAAGATAACGATAAACAAATAACACAATTTCATTCCCATCGATGTGGATTATATTATTAATAACAAATATTGTTAAATAATTATTTGTTAGTCTATGAAAAAGTAAAAACTTTTTCCGTTTAACTAGTAGGATTTTCGGGTACACGGTTAAAAGTAAAAATCTATGTTTTCAGACAATTTCGTTGACTCACTTTCGTACTTGCAAAGCTCAAATATACTAAAATATCGTTCTGAGTTTTAAGATGCATCCAGGCATTGGCTTATTTTTCTTTGACTAAATAATAATTACTCATTCGCTTTGCCACTTGAAATACTTATAATGCATGACGGTTATAATTTCGATAAAATTTTTGATTCAGTTCACAAATATATACAACATATTTTTAATTATCATACAGCTCCAACAAATAACATCGCACCTAAATTGATGGGCGATAAGTTTGGTTGGAAGATTATCCTTGGTCGTGAAAACAGCCTAATTAGTATCATGTGTCAAGTCGTGGGATACCCTGTTCCAATATTTAAGTGAGTTTCTTGAACAAACTAATTTATTATATTTTAATTTATCGTTGCTTGTTGCGAATTAAAATATGTAGCAGAGCCTTTATTGCGTTAATGATTTTTTTCTTACTGAAAAGACGTTATTATTAATTTTGGCTCTGTATTTTCAGAGCCAACTAATAACTTAGCACCAAAACTAGTAGGCGAACGAACTCCGTGGAAAATTCTTACTGGAAAACTCGGTTCAACACTGTTTGTCTTGTGTCAGGTTGTCGGATTTCCTGTACCTAGATTTCAGTAAGTTTTTCAGCGATATTTTAATAAAAAGTATAAAAAATTAAAAAATTAAAAAATTAAAATGCACTATTCCGCTTTTTTCGTTTGTGCCGATCGCCCTGTAAGCTCAACATAAAGGCAATTATCTTTAGAATTAATTATGATTTTTTTTTAAATTTTGTTAGAACCAACTAGCAATATAAAGCCAAAAGTACCCGGAAAAAAGTACGAGGGCGGCGAAATCGTATTTTCGCATTCTGGAAAATCAGTATTTCTAACTTGCCCCGTTGTAGGATTTCCAGTACCGTTTTTCAAGTGAGTTATATAATTCGATAATCATAATTTTGCAATGTGTTTCCAGTAGTAAAATGTAAAATTATCACTAATATAGTTCTACTTATAGTTACAATTTATTAAAAATCTTAAGAAAATGAAACAATCACAAGTAAACTTCAAACCCTATTCCACCGAAAGGCATTGGCGTTACATATAACAGGTTTATTAAGTAACTGAAATTCCTTATATTTTGCAAATTTCAAAAATATTACAGAACCCACAAGTAATTTACCTCCGAAACCAATAAATGACAAAATTGGATTTAATAAAATACGGAATGGTGTCGGAGAAAATGTTGCTTTGGTTTGCCAAGTTGTTGGCTTTCCTGTACCTTACTTTAAGTAAGTCTAAAAATATTTAGTAAACACTAATTTAAAATGCGGTTTAAAAATTCTAATATGAATAAAAAGACAATCTTTTTATTGAATATTTAACATAGATCAAAGTATATCTTGCGTAAAATATACTTGTGTTAGAATCAGCAAATTTTTATTTTAATTATGCGCATTAATGATTTTGTACACATAATACAAATAGTATATTTTATGTATTTTCATATTAATTAGTTATGAAATTCTCAAGCAAGCGTTTTTATTTTACTTAATATCATTTTACATCTATTGAATAATATCTATCGATGAATAGGTTTTTGAGTTACATGTGTTTTGCACTCGCTCAAATCTTACGCAATAATCAATTATATTAATAGGAAACGAATATATTGAATTCAGAATTTTATCGTCGATATGATCATATAATTGAAAAAGAGGCTCAGATAAATATATATTACATTTATTTAACACAATAATGTACTCGATTATAAATGTACAAATGTTTTCAAGTAACAAGTTTTTTCTTTCCCGCTTTTTGGATAATATACATATGTTCTATTATACTTGTTCAATTTATATTAAATCCTAACTCATTAAGCAATTTTTTTTAATCAATTCTAAAACTTGTCTTACGTCTTCAGCAGACAATGCTTCAACCGAATCAAAAATTTCACTAATTCACTATTTTTTTACAATATTTTTGTAAATAGATCAATCTAAAAATGTAATAATTTATTTTTTGTTATTGCCTATTAATTATAATTATCAAACTCATAACAAGTTTTGATATTGAATTGAATATACTAGGACCACCAAATAATAATATATCAATGAAAAATTGAGTTTCATGTTACATCAAAATATATACTATCGTAGAAAGTACTAAAATAAGTAAATTTGGCGGAATTATTCTCTTATTATTGTTATATCTGATAAATAACATATTATTACGAATATTATACTTATGATTTTTTTGAATTTATTTTTATAATTGTGCTAATAAATTAATCTCCAATCATTTATTTTATTTATGGTATATTTACTACATTTTTCACTGAAGTTTGTCGTTGTGAAGCATTGTGTCAAAAATCAGGCTGTGGCGATGAAAATTAATTCCTTTGATTTACACTCGAATAATTAATTGGATAAACTTTTCCAGAACCAACGAGCAATATTGCTCCCAAAGCTTTGAATGACAAATTCGGTTTCAACAAAGTGTCTAACCGATTTGGCACCCCGGTTGCTTTAGCTTGCCAAGTAATTGGCTTTCCAGTGCCATATTTTAAGTAAGTCGTTACTAGAGAAGCAAATCTTAATTAAATCGTGTATTATGATCATTGGGACACCCTTATTTACCTTGGTATCGGGCAGTGGCGATATCATTAAATTCTAACATATTTGTAAATGGAAAATATTTAACATTTGTAGCTCCAACAAGTAACATTGCTCCAAAAGTACCTGGTCAAAAGTATGACGGAGGAAAAATTGTCACGACCAAACAAAATTCCAATGTTTATTTATTATGTGAAGTAGTCGGTCATCCCGTGCCTTATTTTAAGTAAGATTTCCCTAAATACCCAAAATATATTCAAAATTAATAATTGAGAATTAATCCCTATTATAAGGTAGTATATTCAGATTGATATAGGGTTTACATTACGTGTTCATAACGAATGTTGATATAATATAATTATATGTTGGGTATAACGTAAGTATATTTATTAGTTTTATTAATTGGTGAAAAATATAATTTCTTAAAATATTTTTATAAAGAAATTCGAAATTTTCGGAGTTGTCTTAACTTTCAATTTTTTTTTCATTTATTGATTTGATTTCAGTTATTTGTTCAGGTGAAGATGCACGGAGTTAGAAGTAATTTTAATTGCGTTTTATGGAATTTTTTAATATATATGTATATATATATATATATATATATATATATATTTAAAATTACCTTTGAGTGCAGTGTGTTTTAAATAACCTGTAAAAATATTGATCCTTAAATTTTTTTAATCGCGGTATTATGAGTCGTCTTTTAGTTAGTATCTCAATTATTTGTATCAAAATGAGTTGGCTTTTGTGACGGTGCTTAATTTTTGTGAGCCTGTATTTGCATTAGAATTTTGATCATGCGATTCCCAAACTTCATGAAGTTGACATATAATACCTTAAAATATTACTAAATAATTTTTAATTTTATAAAACTGTCATCACTATTTTTTAGAAACGATCTGTCAAAACTGAAGGAGTTGGTAATCTTTAATGCATGTTAAATTTGGGATAAAATAACTAGCTGTGAGCGCTTTTTTTGTTTTATTGATCATTCCGTGCATCTCGCTATAAATTATTTTCACCGCATTTTTATTTGGCTATATATATTTAAAATTCACACACGATTGACAAATTTCTTACAGAAAGTGTTTTTTACTGAATTAACTTTGAATGTAAGCATCAGTTTCAAAATTTTTATAAAAAGATAAATTGTGGATATAACTATATCATATAGAACCATTTTTTTAAATAATGTTATCAAATTTTCCATTCAAATATATTAACCAACCAATTTTTGTCAAATCGTGTGGGAAGATTACTAAAAAGTATAAAGTTGTAACTATTCTTCTCCATTCTTCTACAGGTGGTATAAATTCATCGAAGGAAGTACAAGAAAACAAGCAGTAGTTTTAGACGACAGGGTGAAACAAGTTTCTGGAACATTGATTATTAAAGAAGCAGTTGTGGAAGATAGTGGAAAATATTTATGTGTAGTCAATAATTCAGTTGGAGGCGAAAGTGTGGAAACAGTTCTAACAGTAACGGCACCACTAAAAGCCCATGTTGAACCAAGAAGTCAAACAATCGATTTTGGAAGACCAGCCGTGTTTACTTGCCATTTTACTGGAAATCCTGTAAGAACCGTCAGCTGGATGAAGGATGGAAAACCTATTGGACACAGTGAAGCAGTACTTAGGTAGTTTTCAAAATTTATATAATATAATAAAATAATGATTTTTGTTGATAAATGAATTACAGTATTAGATTAGATTATCACGTTTTTTGTCATCTACATATATATAAAAATAAGTCGGGTTTTCCTTCCTGACGATATAACTCCAGAACGCACGAACCGATTTCGGCAATTTTGCATTTGTTAGAAAGGTCTCGGGCTCCGCAAGGTTTATAGCTAACAAAATTAGTGGCATCGTGCCTTGATTTGCTGGAACTTCACGCACCGTAATTAAAAATTCGAGTAATGACATTAGTGAGAATAATCAGAATTATGCTTGGTTAAGTCAACGAGCAATTCTTGCCGCAAAGAATAATGATGTACACGCACTGAATTGCTGGCGATTTGGTGACATACCAATGATTCGGACTGGTCTTCCATTTGACTTCAAACGATTGCAATTTCCAGTGTGCCTTGCGTTTGCAATGACAATTAACAAGTCGCAAGGCGAATCGCTTAGAGTTTGCGAGATAAATTTTAAATTGGGCAGTTAAACGTTGCCTGTTCACGAGTTGGGAAACCATCCGCTTCGTTTCTGTTAACGTCAGACCAAAAAACAAAAAATGTGGTTTACCAAAGAGCACTTCAATGAAACGAATAATTTGCGGATTCACTTTCATTTACTTAGAGATGTTCAACTAAAAAAACACATGATTTTTGTAATTGAAATAAATTCATTAATGTCGTGTAATAAAATCAAATTTTTCTTTTCAAATATAAAACAAACAAAAAATTTCCTTATCTTTCTCACGAAACCATCTGGTGGCAAAACGAAGTTTGTCGGGTTTGCTAGTATTACATAAAAATTAATTTTTTACCTTTGCCTTAAGGTAAAAATGCCTTAGAATTTACTGTTTTGAAATTTTGACGCGTCCTATTATTCCTTACTTTATTAAATTTTTGTAATTAAACCAAACTAAGATTTTTATCTAGCATGTTTCTTCACTGATATCTTTTCACCAGCTTTTAAATTGTGAAAATAGGCTTAGGACTATTTGCAAAAAAGTGGAATTTTTTTTTAGACTATTTGCAAAAATGTGAATGAATTATTTTGCTCTTTTCTGCGAGTCCTTATTGAGATACATCAAAAAGTTATTCAATTATTTTATTATTAATAATTAATATTAATTTTACTGGTTAATGTAATCTCAATAAATCCAGTATCAATTCAAAAAATCTGTTTATGGTTGATAATTTAATTAGCAAAATTTATTATTTAAAAATAATCTGTTTAATAAAATAAACAAAACTAATGACTATGGCATTAAGAATCTCACTGCTTTATTATTTATAGCTAAATATAATTCTATAAATATTCTGTTTCTATCTAATTTTTGACATATATTTTCACGAAATTTTTTGTTAGCATTTATAATATGAAAAGTCCATAATAAATAAAATCAATAGTTTATGATTTTGCATTAAATTTATTATTTTTATTTTCAAGAATCGATTCGGTTAAAAAAGAAGATAAAGGCATGTACCAATGTTTCATTCGTAACGAACAAGAAAGTGCGCAAGGCAGTGCTGAGCTTAAACTTGGAGGAAGATGTAAGTGTTATTGCAATACTGTTTATGAAATCATGAAAATATTGGTACTATAAATAATTTATCTTCCTACAGTCGAACCACCTCAGATAAGACATTCTTTTCCGAAGAAACTATGCAACCTGGTCCATCAGTATTCCTTAAGTGTGCTGCGACTGGTAACCCTACACCTGATATTACATGGGAATTGCATGATAAACGAATTGTAAACAATGATAGGTAAAATTAGAAAAAAAATGTTAACAAAATATTTAATTAATAACAAATGTAAAAAGTGTTGCGAATTAAATGCACATGGTTTTACAGATATCAGATCGGACAATATGTTACCGTTAATGGCGATGTTGTATCTTTCTTAAATATTACTTCAATTCATACAAATGATGGAGGTCTTTACAAATGTGTGGCTACAAGCAAGGTATATATTCTTAATGCTCACTTTCTAATGGATTATGAAAATGCAATATGGAATAATTAATATTTAATAAAAAACAGGTTGGATCAGCATCTCATGCGGCCAAAATCAATGTTTATGGTGCACCTTATGTTCACGACATGGAGAAGAAAGCTATTGTTGCCGGAGAAATTCTGCAAGTGACTTGCCCAGTGGCTGGATATCCTATTGAATCAGTTTTTTGGGAAAGAGGTATGATATATGAAATCGAAATATGAAATATCATCCATAAAGTGAATGTATTTTTAACCAGTGAGACGAATTGCTGTCAAATAGAGTTTAGTAGCGGAGTTAAATTTTCTATTGATAAGAGTAATTACCAATTAGAGGTAAAATTAAAGTTCATAATATTGACAAAATTTCAACGAATAATTTCAAACACTATTCAAATTTTATTATCCATGTTCTGAAAAGTAGCGAATATTGATTTAACTACTTATTAACTGGGACAACATCATTATCTTCAAACCTACATAGAATTTATTTTCTAGTCTAAACGACTAGAAAATAGATTCAAATTAACATCTTAAAATATAGTATCGAAACATAATCTGTGCTAGTTAAAATATTATATTTCCTGCATAGAGAATGTTGATGTATTTCATTAGCTATATTCGTAAAGTGATGTAAGTCTTCTCTTGTTTCAAGAAAATTTAAGGTTAGAATATCAGTTAATTGAAAAATCTAGGCAATGTGCAATTGTAACGTTTTTACTGTTTTATCGATATTTAAATTGAAGAAAAAAACTATTTGCTTTGGGTCAATTAGACTATACAAATGTAATTTATAAGCTGAAATGAATTATTTAATTTTTATAGAGTTATTTAATTTTCCGACTGATTTTAGTTGTATATAACATGGGGGTTTTTATGAAATATAAAGTACTGGTACTTACCTAGTTCCAATGAGATTATTTTTTTTAAAAAAAGTGCACCTAAAAGTGGATTATTCAGTAAAACTTTTTTGTTTTTAGATGGAAGACAGCTTCCTATTAACAGAAAACAAAAGGTATTTGCCAATGGAACATTAATAATCGAAAATGTGGAAAGGAATTCCGATCAGGCAGTCTACACATGTGTTGCAAGGAATGCTCAAGGATACACAGCCCGAGGAACTTTGGATGTTCAAGTTATGGGTAAGTTCAAAGTCCAAATATTTTGATTAAATTCGGTGATATACAGCAAATTTTTAAAACAAAATATGAAAGAAACAATTATATACACAATATTAAAATATTTTTTTTAAAATCATACTATTAGTAATATAAATCTAACTTCTTTTCTATCCAAAGTATGAATGCTCGTACATTAACTTTTTCTATTTAAAGTGCGTACAGTTCAAAAACCATGCAAGAATTTTTAAGTAATTTGTAAATTTGACTTAATTTATTCTAAATATTTTATATCTATATTTTTTTATTATAAAAATTTATGAGCGACGACATTAATTAGTAAGTAGGAATTAAAGAAAATATTTAGAATCATTTTTGTTATATCATCTCTGCTGTATAAAATCGAACATATTTTTGTGGACACTTAAAAAAATACTCTAACAAAATTTACATTGAATAAGATTTATCTTGTCGAATAAGTTTTACAATATATTTGATATAGTCATTATCAAATTGTCATTGGATATAGTTTTATCAGATTCACTTTAGATTTGTTTTATTTCGTTGGCACTTTGATCACTTTTCGGAGTTGATATAATAATAATAGTTAATATAAAAATAGAGTATTTTATTAAGTCTTGCTGACTATATTTAGGAGTTGCAAGAAATTAGATTGGTACTGAATGCATTTCAACATGCATTACCTATTTTTTGTGGCAACTCTGATATCATTTTTTTCACAGGATTTTTTCAGGCGATTCGATTGTTTTTATGTATTTTATTTTTAATATAAATAGATGATGTATTTAGGTAGCAGCTGATAAATGTAATGGAGGTAAGTCATTATTGACCAAGACTGCTTGTGTTTATTTGTAGTTTTTGATAGATATACAAGTCAATGTACATGAACATTCTACAGAGTTCTAAAGCAGAAGCAGTTTGAACTGCTATTTAAAATTTTGATTGGCTTTCTATACTATATAGAACTTCAGAAAATATTAACTAGTGAAAATTATTCCGAATCTATTAATTGATATTAAAATATCTTTTACCTTGACGGCATATACTATTTAATCATTCTGATTTTTATAGTAGCCCCACAAATTGTACCGTTTGATTTTGGTTCTGATGTCACAAACATATTTGACATGGTTTCGGCCACGTGCACGGTTCATAAAGGCGACTTGCCCATAGAGATACAATGGTTATTTAATGATGAGAAAATATCCTCAAATGATGGGATTCTTATAGGCCGGATGAATCAAAGACTTAGGTAATGGGTTTTTGAAACAATATTTGTCAAAGATTGTAGTACACAGAAAAGTCGTATTTGAGTAAATATTTGGGAAAAAATTATTTTCTGTGTGCTGTTGTAGCATGCTAGGGAACTTTTGGACCGGATAAGAGTCAAAATTATTAAACAGCATTATGATGGCGTATTATAAATTTATTGGCAAAGTTATGTGGCGTTATTGTAACACTGAGTTCCCTTGTATGCAAGGAACTATTATTTTATCATGATATCATTATGTAACAATCCTTCATATCACATTTTACATAATTTATACCCTAACCTTAATTAACTCATTTTGTCAGCATTTGAAAATGAAAGACTCGAAATCTATGAAAAGATACTGTTCGGGAGTTTAATATAGTCTATATACTATTTTTTAATAAAGCTAGATAGTTTGCTGTAATAATAGATGAAATAGTAATAATAGAGCTATTTGGGCATCAGTCACATTTCTCGTGTGTCTTTTCCTAATGATCATAATGCAATTTCTGTGTATCTACAATAAATATAGCAAGAATAAGTTTCTTACCTGAATTCTAATATACTTTTGTCAAAATAGTTCATTGAGTATAGAATCAGTCAGAGGCAGGCATAGGGGAAATTATTCGTGTGTGGCGACCAATCCAGTTGGAACCGCCAAATTTCAAGCAGAATTATCTGTTAATGGTTAGATTTTTTATAATGAATATCGTTTCTATATATTCATATTTGATTTCAATCCTTCCAAATTTTATAATATAATTTTTTATAGCAGGGAGAACCTCATAGTTAATAAATTTTTGAGGCGTTCTAATCTTCACGATTTAGACATTATTACAATTGATAGATAACCCATAAAAAATCTATCGGTTTACTGTAGAATATTATTTTCTGTTCTCATAATTATTTTCATCTAGATAAATTTATTTTAAAGCGAATATTAACATTCTGACGTTGTATTCAGGATCATGTTTTCTTACAATTTTTCTTTATAAGATTTGCCAAAAATCGATTTCAGAGAGCCTTTTAGCTTTTTAAGATAGGCAGTCGATTTCGACAGGAAATCTTTTATTGATTTATTTAATTTGCTTTAAAAATGTTTATGAAAGTATTTCATCGTGGCATTACTTATTTTTATTTGTCAGTTGTTCACTCTGTTTATTACAACTTTAAAAGACATCAACCATAGTTCATATGCGAATTTACTATTTTTTCTTAAATATAAAGCAAGAAGGCAAGCAAGTAATACTACAAAATGCTTGTACCAACGTATCGAAAATTTCAGCTTTAGAACAATTGACACTTTATAAATAAATAATTCAAATAAGGTTTTATTAATTTTCATTATCTTTTATCATTCAGTGCCCCCGCAAATAATGCCATTCGACTTTGGCGATGAAAAAATTAACATTCTTGATATGATTTTGACCACGTGTACCGCAAATAAGGGAGATTTACCAATAGAACTTCGGTGGCTTTTTAACGGAGAATTAATTACTACAAATGATGGAGTTTTAATTAGCAGAACAAGTCAGAGAATCAGTACTCTCAGTATTGAATCTGTTTTGGGAAGACATAATGGAAAATATACTTGCATCGCTTCTAATAGTGCAGGGGTTGCTAAACATAGTGCAGATTTGATAGTAAATGGTTCGGAGATATAAATATTAAATTAATTTCGATTTAGTTGATTATTGTAGATATTACGTTTGACACAAATTTTCTTTTATATTTATATTATTTTATTTTCCACCTGTAATATCTTTTTATATATCCTCATCAACAACAAATATTTAGAGGTGCTATGAAGTGGATAAATGATGTACCAAAGTAATATAAAAAATACGCTACTTTATTATTACTTTTTTAATAACATTCTGTCAAATTTTTATTTATTTGATATTTATATTAAATAAAGAATATGAAGAACAGATAAAACATAAAGACTATTTTAGAACGAATCAATTCATCATTTAAAATTTAGGGGGTACTAATTATTAGTATTCATTGGATGATATGATTATCATTATTTAAGGAGGTATTCTAGTGTAGAGCGATGAATTTTAGGTCATTTTTGAAGTATCTTAAAAGAAAGCAATGCATGTTTTTACTATCCCTTTTTTACTACTTGTTTATTAATATTATTAAAATACAAAACAAAAATT